CCGGTACATTGATTTTAAACATTTTTTTCTCTTAATGTTTTAAATTTCAACAACTTCAGATTGTGCCTGACATTGTTTTCCCTCAGTTCTTCTTATAATTATGTTCCTGTTCAGGTTTTTTGAGAGAATTATATTTCTCATTGATTGCATTCTCCATCACAATTTTCTGTTTAGTTTTTACATTTATTTATTTTTAATGATGTATTAAAAAGAATGAAATTTATCATACAACGCTTGCTTTATTGCTTTGTGTTTCAAACTGTTTTTTTTGTATTATTACATATTCAGCTGTGCTTTATCAACACTTACTCGTTTCTTTACCTATCAATTTCATGCAAATTTAGGGTTATTGGAATGCAATAGAATTAAACTTTACTAGAGCAATGAGGTTAATCCAAATATGGGCAATGGGGTGTTGTAATAAGTTATTCATGTCACTATGTGTCAATTTCATTCACATTTAATTTCCCACTGCCCAGTTATGACATTTTAACACTGTACTTATTTTAAATGATTCATTAATTCATATTGATAACATACCATGTGCAATTGTTGATTATGTATATTATGTAATTTAATATTCAAAACTGGTTAGAACACTTTGTACGCTAAACATAAAAAAAAACATCATTAATTTGAATAAAAATAAAACTTAATGTGTGATGCATTGTTTTTGTGTTTTGTGTTTACAGATTCACATTGTCGTTTTTGTAAACCAGGCCACAGTCCCTCGTGTTGAGGGACTGTGACCAGGCAAACATTTCATAGTACCAGGCAGAAGGGCGCCCTCTTATATTATAAGTTTTTTTCTCTTGTCTATGTAAGCTGTGGCACGTGTAATGCCATGAAGTAGGTTGCCATAGAAACATCAGATTTCTTTGTATTTTTGCAATTGCTTCAACATTGATTCCTATAAAAATAATTCTAGCATTTTTTTGTTAGTTGCATGAAGTCGGGAGTTGTAATCCGGTAAGATAAACACCATAATAAAAGTCTAAATTATAATATAGGGGGTGAAAAGTAAGACAAATGTATTGCCTGTGGCCTTAGGGTGGGTGGACAGGAAATCATTTCTTTATGCAAATGGTAGAGTAGAAACTGTGTGAGGCGAAGTACTGTACTTAAAACACTTAGAAATGTCATTTTAGCGAATTTTACTAAATGCAAGAATTGCCAACATTCTCATTGTTGACACTCATCTGGCCTGATGAAAAAAATAGTTCGGAGAAAAATTAAATAAGGCTTTAAAATTTAGGCTGTAAGTGCGTTCGAATTTACGGTGGCAACAAACGACACGCGTTGGAAACATCTCACGGCGAACGCTTTTCACATGTGCGGTCACGGTGGTAGATTTGTATCTTGTGCAGAAATGCGATAAATAGGTCTGCGAGGAAATAAGTGTGAAACTAAAGACGACACATAGTTGGGCAGTCGGTAATAATTGTGTAATAAATACTACGGAGATAAAATAGAGCGGTCCGGAGAGGCATCGAACTACTTCATGGGGGGCGGGGGGGGGGGGGGCTGGTTGGACTCGGAAGCAGTAGTAAGACTTGTGAAGGCTACTGGTATGATGATGTGGACAAGTAGTCAGGAAACCACTGTCTGAAGCGACGCACGCGAGATATTTGACAAAGCGGATGAATAGCAAATTAACATACAGTAAAGAGACCTGAGATTCACAAATTTTCATCTCCCGCGCAGATGTTTAGCTGTCTTGCTTACACTAGTATTCTTGCACTAACATTATTTTATAAAGTTAATTATTTACTTGCTAATTGCTAATTTAGGGGCATTAAGCCTGACTATATACTTACCCTCTAAAACAAAGGCACCCATAATGTGTCCAATTTACATGTAACGTTTCTGATTAGAACACTGGAAAGTAATCGAAGAAGAACCAATATATACTGAAAAAAAGAGGGAAAGTAAAAATGTGTTTGTCGAGACAGAATATAAGTTTGGTGTGACACTAAAATATTCAGTAACAGAATAGGTAGTAGAATAGTATAAAATGTTAAGTAACGCAGTTTTTTAAAGCAAAAAAATAGAGATGACAAAGCAAATTGTCTTATATGGAATGAAAGAAAAAAGACGAGTAGAAAAATATAATATGAACGGCGAGAATGCTCGATGTGAACGGCGACCCTTTATCGTCGATAGAGGGCGTGACCTATATGATAGGTGTATGTTGTCTTCCGAAGTTATTATATTACTAATACAAGCACATTTACGTGAGATTGGAATATAAGGCTTATTTCATATTCTACGTACTAACATGACCTAAGTCTTCCAAACAAGGCGCACAAGGACGATAAGTCCCGTTTATATTTTATGAAAATCTTACTGAATGTGTTGATTGAGAAGACGTTCGGTCTGAATTTCGCGTTTGCATTGACCATGTGTAATGGGCATGTACTTCATTTGCCATCAAGTAATATTATTGTCTCCAAATATGAATCATTACTGTTCTTATTTCATTTGATAATAACTTCAAGAATTATTTCTTGTATCAAGATTGTTTTAAATATTTGTATATTTTAGTGTACCATAAGAAGGCTTAGAAATCTA